CTCCTTCTTCTCTCTCTTCTCGTCTTTTTTTTTTTCTTTCTTTTCTTTCTTTGGCGGGTAAGTTCAGTGTTTCCGCGATATGGCAGCCGGCCTTGGCCAGGGGCAGACAAGAGCTGACAGCATTATTGGAGGTGTGAGATGATCTTGTGAACGGGATCCATACACATTGACGCTTCAAACCTGGTCCACATGCCTCCACAACCCTGCTGCTGCCCCTTTGAACGTCAGCAACCGATTGACCACATCAGCTCCAAAGCGCTTCTCTGGTCTGGGTGCCAGTCGAGCCAAGACGAGGAAGCGCAAGGAAGACGGTGCGGCGCACACGCACAGACCAAGTGACAGACCCGACACATAAACTCCCGCAATGTACACCGATACCCGTGACATCAACACACAGTCAGGGTCCGGGTTTATCGGATTTCACTTTGCATGCGAACAGCACTGTTGAACGGTCACTGCATCCCGTCTCTGGGGTGCTGCTGTGACCCTCCAGCCCACTGGTGTATGCTCTCTGCAGCCAGCTTCTCTCTCTTTTTGCCGACCTTGAACGTGTGCCTGTCTCCCGTGTTCTTCTTTTGTGTGCTCGTACGCTGCTCGTGCACGGTTGTCCCCTGCTGTTGCATTTGTCTTTCCCCTGGCCCAAACGGTCCCCTCGCTGCCCTCGTGACCGGAGCATGGCGTCGTGGCATTGCTGTCTCACTTGGCACTGCTTGATTCAATACTTTGACGTAGACAGACTAGCTGCAGCCGCCTCAAATCTTCCCTGACCTCCCCCTTGGCGCCCGCCTCGGTCGCCCTTGGCTCTTGTGCCAACCATACCGCGCCACTCACTGTTGGCTCGCGGACTGGACCAGCTCCCTCGGGCGCTGCCATCCATACAATCATGGCAACGGTGCGTCCAAAGACACCAGCTCCCACCTGCTTCACCCGCCCACCCCCTTCCCGATGAGACGCTCATGTCCTTTCTACTCCAATTTACCTCATTCAGCCGGAGGGGCCTGCCGACGCTTCTGGGATGGAGGTCTTCCCTTCTCAATCCCTTGAAGAGCTCGAGAACAAGGTTTTGGCTCCAAGTTGGACCGTGCCTCTCGAGAGCAATGGGCCCTTGGTTGTCTGCACACAGGCCTTGTTGAGGCTGCTGCAAGCCAATAGTGCGTTGCGTCTCTTGTCCAGTTCAAGGCCCACCCACCTGCTGCTTGCCTGTGTATCTACTTGTGCATCCGCCCGTGTATCCGGCTGCGTATCCGCCATCTCATCAGTGACGTGACGCTTGATCTCGGTCCCCTCCTTCCGCTCTAACAGGCTCATTTGAAGCTGACGATGTGGCCACACGCTTTTTGCATGGTGTCTTCCACGAAAGCTATGCCAAGCTTCTGGACTCGGACGCCGTCCGCACTTGGAAGTCAAACATTATTGTACGCTTCCAACAGCCGTACACCCAGCCATTGCCCTCTTCGCACCAGCAAGAGGCTAGCTCATCCACGCACGTTGCCCTGCATTTGATTGATGAATAATCCTGTTAGAGTTTGATCGAGGAGAAGATGCCCCTCTTTGCTGAAACACTAGCCTATGTCGTGGGCGCCTCCGATCACCCAGAGCTGTACAACCTCGTCGCGCTGGTAGGCAATCCGACGTTGCCCCTCATTTATCTTTGCGCATGGCATTGCATCGCGCAAAGCTGGGCATATACTCACATGCTGTGCTTGGTTCACACTTGCCAGGCGTTGTGTGACGACGCCGAACTGTACCACCGCTGCGGTACCGGTGCCAGTTCCACAAGCTTGCAGTCGTCGGCGTTTGCCTGTCGCCAATATGGCTTGTGGCCTGACGTGGTGAACATCTTTGGCCATCACGGTGGCTTTCAGCGCATCGCCGCCTATGCAGCTGTACGATTTCAAGCGCCAGCCGCATCCCCTCTCCTCCCTCCCTCCTCTATCTTTCTTGCTCGCTCGCCCGCTTGGCATAAAGGCTGGCTCGCCGTTTCTCTGACCGATTCTACTTTCTCCTACTTTGGTGGACGCGCACCCATAGCGCGAGGATGTGCCCTTTGAAAATCTGCTACAGCTAGCCCGCATCAGCGTTCAAGCTTCCCCCGACCTCAAGGATAGCGTTCGTGATCAGGTCGGATCAATTCTTTTCGCCCGCTTACACGCCTACAGTCTTACACTCACAAGCTCGCTTCAGCCTGAGCGCTGTCCGACACGACAAATTGGTCAATGCACGGCGCCATCTCATCCATGGTTACTCCCATGCCCACTCCCAAACAGGTCCTCGCCCCCATCTGGGCTCGCTTCAACACCAAGTTTGATGGCATGTCCAATGACGATCTCAAAAAGCTGGCTCCCCACGTGCTGGGCAAGCGCGGCCTGCTTGCCACTTTTGCAGCCTTCCCGGTATTCATCGCACGCTCATTTAGCCTTGTTGAGTTCCAAAGCAGCAATAAAAATTCTCCCCGCCCGCGACACACACATTGCTTTGATTCTCCCGCTTGCTTGTGCATGACACGAGGGCTTACTTTACCGCGTCTCACGCTCGTTCAATTTCTTTGCTGCCAACGCCAGCGCCTGAGAGACTCAGTTTCTCCAGGCCGACCTCCCGTCTATGATTGCATGTTGCGGGTATGCCGCTTTGTTACCCGCTTTGCATCCAGCTTGCTTGCTCGTGCATGGCATGGATGTGCCATGTTTATCCTGCATTCTGTGAGCTGCCCGGCTGCATACTTCACTCACTTTGATCATGCCGGTGTGCTTGTCCTCCTATAGCTACTCAAGTGCGGTTCGTTCAGCGTGACCATGAGCGTCATGCAATTTATCCACGAACAAGCCCGATACGGCCCATCCACGGCCGACGTGTAAGGACATGATGATGTGTGGCAATGGACCTAGCCCAGTGCACACACATCTTTCCCTCCCCCTCATTGGCTGCGATTGCCTTCCGCACAGACGCTCGCGCCAGGCAACTCTCTCGCAGGAAGACATTGCTCCTTGGATCGTCGAAAATGACATTCTGGACATTTTGCTCAAGTGCGCCATCTCTCTGAACTTCGATTTGTTACTCCAACCTTCTTCTTGACACTTGTTGTTGCACGACAACAGATGGGTCGCATTTTCTCACGTCGGTCTTGGCGCTTGTTTCAATGAATGACAGGGGCAACCTGCATCAAGAGCAATATGTTCGCCGCATCACAAAGCTAGTCACCATCTTGACAAGCCAAAAGATGCTGAACCAGGCCACACTCAAGCAAATTTGGGATGTGAGTCACTCATGACCGTTGTACCGTTGCAGTCGCATGTCGACTGCTACCGACTCGTGTCCCCCCTCTTTTGCTTCCGCGCCCACGCCCGCCTAGCGCCTCATGGCACCGTGACTGCCTCTCACTGACCATCAGGCGCAAGGGGGCAAACACGAGACGATTGTGAAGAATCTGCACGAGCTGCTCGCAGAAATCGCCTGGGATTTGACGGGAGACAACCTGCACTACCTCTTTGAGCTTTTCAAGGAGAGTTGGGGGGGTAGTGACGAGAATCGTCGCAACCTGCTGACCCTCATGCGTCGATTGGCCGAAGAGGACACCCACAACACCATGGCCAACCAAGTGTTGAATCTCTTGTGGGATCTTGTGCACGATGACACGGCCAGTCGTGAGATCATTACGGCTGCACTTGAGGCGCACTGTCACATTCTGCTGCACGGCTACAACCAGGAAGCCGAGAGGCGCCACTGGATCAACACGCTTGTTGAAGCCATTGGGGCCGAGAAGGATGTTTTGCTCAGCGTGCAGCAGCTCCATCGCATCCTCAAGTACTACTCCAACTCTGCATCCAGTCACACGAGGTATGGGTCAGCCGGAGGTGGCCCTGCTGCAAGTTTGATTGCAACTGCCATCTGTTTTGGTCTGCCCGGCTCGTGGTTGCTCTGAAAAACCAGTCTTCCATGATCAGGCTTCTCACTCGCGCCACTGTCCTAATGTTCCGTAGGCACAAGGAGCTGTTCACGTTTATTGAGAACAGCAAGTTGGCCACGCACTGCCAACATGCGCTGCTTCAATATTACGATATGGCTCGCAGCAACCCAGCAGCCGCAGGGGGTGTGTTTTCGCACGAGGAGATCTTGGACATTTATCTCGACAACATCCGCTTTTTCAACGAGACGACGTCCAGCTACATCTCCCTCGTCCTGGTCGAAGTTATCTGGGATAAAATCTACTGTCACGCCATTTCAGAGACGGACGCGCGCATTCTGCTGACCTGGTTCGCCAAGATCTGCACTTACAATGGCAACGACACCGATCTGGATCTGGGCTGCATCGCCCGCTTTTTTGACAGCCGCATCGTGCGCCAGGACCCAACGCGCATGAACACAGATGCCTTTCACCTGTTCTGGGCCGCGTTCAAGTCGACCAATCAACACCATGGCAAGCTGATGCTGTCCAGCGATGGTTTGATCATTGAGTCCATTCGCGACATCAGCTTTGGTGGCCTCGATGTTCTGTGGATGGTGGCTTTGGAGCACGATGACGAGCAGGTGGCCGAGCTCGGCGCCCGGGCCCTGCTACAGCTCTTTCTGGCCAGCGGTTCCGCGGTTGACTTCCACAACGCGTGGCTTGAGCAAATTTTTACCCGCCTCACGCAGTCCTACTTTGAAATCTGTCGCCTCGAGGTCAGAGCTAACAGCCAACCGACTGACTGCCTTGGGCTCGGGGACAAGGTTGTTGGGGTTGGGTGTCCGATTATGCGATTACTCCTCCTTCCCACACCCCACATCCTATGCCCATGCCCTTTTTGTTGAGCCTTGTCTTTTGGCGCGGTCTTTGTGTCTTTTCCTCGAACAAACTCTTGCCCGCGTTTGTGCATGCCGAGAGAAAAGTGGGGGGTGTTGACGGATTCACCACTCACCCGGCTGTTCTGTCCCTTGTTGTTTTGACATTTCAGGATGAATCAGCCAAGACTCGGGCCCAAGCATTGGTCGCGCGTGCCTTCCGCATCCTGACCAGCTATATCGGGGCCACCGAGCGCAATTACCGACGTATCTTTGGCCTTCGCGGCCACCGAGCGGCATACCGAGGCCAAATGCTCAACCTCGTGCTGCATCGCCCACGCAAGGAGGGTCGCAAGCCACTTGATTTGCTCATGCATGAAACCGATACCATGCTCTCCCTTCGCCGCGAGGTTCGTTTTGCGTGTCATAGTTTTGCATACGAAACGTTCACCTTTCACCTTGAGCATTGGGTCAATCGTCAGCTCATGCCATGCCTTCCTCCGCCAAACGGCCGCGACGTTGGCACATGCATACAAAGGCTGCAGCCATTTTTAGTTTGCGTCTAGAGGCGACAGCCCTGCAAACGTACAAGACAACGGCCATGTACCTCACAAGCAACGACATGCATACGCTTGGCGAAGCCGGCGTGTACCACGGCCAGCACTTTTTGGTGCGGTCTCTCAACGTCAACACCAATGGGCCCATTCTGGGCCCGGCAAATGAGATGGAAGAGGCCAAGCTCCCGCGCATGATCCTCGCAAATCCGCAAAACCCCTTCACTGCCAAGTTGTATCAAATTGCGGACGAGGTGCGCGTAGCTCCAGAGGCCCGAAGCATGGCCCAGACATTGCTGTTAAACCTTCCGTCCAATGAGACAATCATGCAGGCTGTGGCCGATGAAGTGGTTGCCAAGAAAGATCTGGCGTTGGCTACCTTGCCCGAGCTGAGCCGCTTTCGCCAACTCTATCAAATCCTTGCCCTGTGTGCACTGCTGCAACCTTGGCCCGATGCCGAGAGAAGCCCCGCTTTGCGCGAGCGCTCCCAGACTGTGCAAAACGTTTATCGCCAAAGCGTGCCATTTGCTCAGCTGCTCAGCGTGTGCCGCATTTCAGATGCAGAGGCCGCCACGCCGCATCTTGAGGAATATGAGATGATCTTTGAGCTCCTCAAGGCCGTTCTCTTCCTCTTGCAAATCAGCATTGAGGCTGCTTCTTCGCTGGACAAGGCAACCCTGGCACACATCTTGAGCGAACTCAGCCCTCTGCTCGAGCTCACTGCCAGCGGGCGCCTGGGCCAGAACTGCTCCCCCACAGTACGGCCACCCGCGTGTACCATGTGCCTCATGTTTGCCTGCCTTCGATTGCGTCCTTCTCCACCATCACTCACAAGCAAGGCCGCGCCCTCGTCGCCTTGGTGCTAGGTTGAGGCAAAGAACGCCGTGCTGTCTGTGCGAGTCCTGAACCTGATGGAGCGGCTCTTGGCTCAGGAGGAAAGCGAGGCGACAACGGTTCGTGATGCCCCGTGCACCCCGCTCCTCTAACGCCTTCTCTTGTCGCTTATGCTCACTCAATTTCCCTGTTCAACCATGAACTGACCTCGGTCACAAAACAGTTTTTGGACGTCGTCTTCAAGCACGATTTGCTTTCCCAGATCTTGATGCATGCGTCGGATGCTGGAACTCGAGGCAGTCTTGTCAAACTGCTCATGATAGTTTTTCCCAAAGCCTCGCCGCAAGACCGGGCGACCCTCTTTGCGAAGGCGTGCGGCCTCTTGGACAGAGTGCACAGCACGCCTCACTGCAGTCACCTCTTCAATTTGGTAGTTGCGCTGGTCTCAAAACACGAGGCCTGTGCAAACACAGACGCAGACAAGCTTTTTCAGCAACAGATTCAAGCTTTGGAGGTGTGTCTTCAGGCCTTGGCGTGTGGACCCGCGCGTGATCTGGCCAAGGTCACGTGGTGTTGCTGTTCCGTATTGACTGACTTTTTTTTTTTTTTTTTTTTTTTTTTCAATTTTCTTTTTCTTTCTTGCTCCCCCAGCGCTTTGAAGTTGTTGATGGGGCCCAGCTCGATGACTTGCAAGACGAGCTGGCCGGACGTTTCAATCTGGCGCGTGCCCTTTTGCCGCACGTGGGTTCGACGACGCTGGACAACGTGGTGCGTACCTCTTGTCCTTAGGCCCAGACTGACATTTTGCATCACGTGCCCAGCGCCTGGTGTGCGAGCTTGTTTGGCCGCCAACTCTGCCTGCGGTTGCTCTGTCTGTCCAACATCTGCTCAGACATGCCTTGATAACGTCACTTCTTTTCATCTATGTCAGGACCGCATGCTCAAGCCGATTGTGGAAAAGTTCCTCTTTCCCGCCTCCAAGCGTCTGAGTGAATTGGCCTTGGCGGATGAGGGCATGGATCTTGACGACGAACGCGTACAAGCCATTTGCCGTGTTCCAGGGGCTCGCACAGCTGCGTTCAGCTTTTTGCAGTCGTACTTGCAGGCTCGCCCAAAAAGTCTGATGCAGCTCTTGCTGGACCTCGCAACGCTGCATTTTTCGCCGAGCCAACGGTGCGTTGGCTCATGATGATTGCTTGCTTGCTTGCTTGCCCGCCCTGCTATTTGGTTTTGCTATTTGGTCTGAGTGCTCACCTCGGGGGGTGGACTAGGCTGAGTGGGTTTGAGTATATCCCCGTCACCACGGACCGCTCTTCCGCCGGCTTTGTTGGCTTGAAGAACGCCGGGGCAACCTGCTACCTCAACTCCTCGCTGCAGCAGCTGTTTATGCAACCCGACATCCGGCGCTTCTTGGCATCCGAACTTGCCATCCCTGCGGAGGACCGGAATGACCTTTTGCTTTATCAGCTCCAAAAGACCTTTGTGTTCCTTGACAAGGCCGAGCAGCAGTACTACATCCCTGAGGTACCCTTTCTGCTCCTCGGCACTGTGCTGTTGCTGTCCTGCAGCCCCTGTCGATGTTCCATAATGGTCTGTTCGCCTTGTTATAGGACATGTGGCGAACCTATCGTCATTGGGGAGAAGCGGTCAATGTGCGCGAACAGCAGGATGCCAATGAGTTTTTGAACTGCTTTGTCGATCAGATCGATGAGCAGCTCAAGGCTCTGCAACGCCCCCAAATCCTGAGTCGAGTTCTCGGTGGCATGTTCCTGGACGAAAAGATTATTCAAAAGGGCTGCAACCATCGCTACACTCGAGATGAGCCATTCACGACGGTTTGCGTCGAAGTGACCCTTTCTGATCGGCTCGAGGATGGCTTGGCCAAATATGTGCAGGGTGAAGTTTTGGAAGGCTACAAGGTACGTCATGCCGCGGTCGCGGTCGTGAATTTACTTTCGCCGCCGTGACTTTTGATGTAGCAACCGCCATCTTCCCTGCGTGCTGACGGGTGTGATGGTCTTTTGACAGTGCGAAAAGTGTGCCGAGCCCCGCGATACACTGAAGCGCCAAAGCATCAAGCGTCTGCCACGCGTTCTAGCAATCTCACTTAAGCGGTACGTGCGGGTGCATTGTTTGTTTTTGTTTTTCTCTCTTGTTTCTCTCCCTCGTTTTCCTCCCTTGTTTTTCTCCTTTGTTTTTCCGTGACTGCCAACTCACTTTGGGCGTTTGTAGTTTCGACTTTGACTTTGAGCGTATGGCCCCAACCAAATTCAACAAGCGCTACGAGTTCCCGATGGAACTGGACATGGTATGATTTATGGCAACAGACACTGTCCGAGTGTGTCTGTGGTGTGGTGTGCGCGCTCGGTGAGTAAATTCTTACAGTTAGCCTTTTGCTTGAATCCGCTAGGGTCCTTACACAGCGGCGGGTCTGCACGCCGCTGAGCTGCGTGAGAACGGCACGGATATTGAGGTGGGTCATGGCAGAGGCTCGCAGGATCATCGTAGGCGTTGGTGTTCGTTTGTTTTTGTTTTAACTCAACGCACGTTTGACCGACGCTCTGACTCTACTCTGCTTCCGGCGACATAGACCCCAGCCTGTCCCTACCGCCTGGTGGGTGTGATTGTGCACAGTGGTCAGGCCAATGGCGGGCATTACTACTCGTTCATCCGTCAGCGCGATGCCTGTGGAGCCGTACAAGAGGATAGCCCCTGGCTTCGCTTTGAGGACACTGAGGTATGCCCAAGCTCCGTCCTATGATCACAAAAACGCTTCTAAAACTGTTGCTTTGCACGCTCTGCAGGTTTCCATCGTCGAGATGGACTCGCCCGATACCTTGCACGAGGAGTGGTTCGGAGGCTCGTACAGCTCAGATGTGCTGGACAAGGCGACGCACCGGTACGTATCCGGTCTTGGCGCTGCAGGCGCGACTGTGATACCCATTTCGTTGCTGACCGGCGTCGTCATTTTCGCTGGTCTCTGCCTCTGCCTCTCTTTCTCAAATATTGTCTTTTCCTGGTGTGGCGCCGATTGTGGATGCGGGATAGCTACGTCAAGCGAAAGCGCGAGCGCTGGTGGAACGCCTACATGTTGTTCTACGAGCGCATCGATCCGCCTGCACTGCACATGTCTGATGCGTATGATCATGAGCTCGATCCCACGCTCCCGGACCACCCCTTGCCCCCGAGTGATTCGGAGCCAGAGCCCTACGACACTGTGACGGCCGAAGAGAAGGCTGAAAAGGAGAAAGAGCTGGCTACCGTCGATCTTGAACCAAGCACTGAACTTCATCGGGAGCTGAAGAGGGCCAACGTAGAGTTTCGGCACAAAGCCAACGTCTTTGATCCCGCGTACTTTTCGTTCTTGCTGCAGGCGTGCAAGCAGCAAACTCAACACTTCTTGGACCAGTTGTCCGCTGCAGCAGATGCCGATGCAGAGCGAGCTATCCGTGCGGCTATCCAGCCTGAGGTCGTTGCGCTTGTCAATCGGGCCTTCCAGTTTTTGTCCGGCTTTGCGCTGCGCACAGATGACTCTTACCGCCCAGCTTTGGGAGACTGGCCTGATGTGCTGGCACGCCTCACGGAGCTGTCGCTGGAGGGACTGGATCAACTACTCAACAGCCTGACCGAGGAACCAGACCTTTTTGAGGATCTCTTGGTCCTCAACACGGATGCAGAATCTCGCCGTGTGCGTATTGCTCGAGGGAGGCTGTTGTTGTTGTTGTTGTTGTTGTTGTTGTTGTTGTTGTTGTTGTTGTTGTTGTTGTTGTTGTTGTTGTTGTTGTTGTTGTTGTTGTTGTTGTTGTTGTTGTTGTTGTTGTTGTTGTTGTTGTTGTTGTTGTTGTTGTTGTTGTTGTTGTTGGAGTCAGAACATAACCAGGACACATGCTTATCACTGTCTTCTTCCTGCTGCTTCACCGCGCAGGTCTTTGCCCGCATTCTGATCAATACTTGTGAGCGTGTGCACGAATGCCATGGCAGCGAAGTTCTTCTCTCGCGCATCGAAGATGTGCTCACTCGATTGGGCACTCTTTTGGACACGGTAAATCAGCGAACACTTGACACCGGGTTTCTCCCTCTCTTCCTCTCCTTCTCTTTCCTCTCTCGGCGTAAAGGCGCAGCTGTTGCTAAACTTTTTTTCCACTGGCAAGCTTGCTTGACCCATACGTGCGTAGCAAATTCTCACTTGTCTGTGATGCATCTATTTTTTTTTTTTTTTCTTTTTTTCTTTTTTTCCCCTCCCCATTGATGCAGGAGGCGATTAAACGTCCACGTCAATTTGATGCTGCTTTCGAGTTTTTGGAAAGGCTTTCTGCTCTGGGTCCCTTTTGGTGTCAGGAGCTTTTGGCCCGTAACTTTGCGCTCCGATGTTTCAGTCCCACGTCAAACACTTTGCCTTGGTTGAAGCAACTCATGTTTGATTTCAAGTTCGTGTCATTGCCAACGGCATCCCATTGGATTTTTGATTGCAGCGCTCTCACTAACAGCAACGTGTGTGCTTGTCTTCCCACAGCCCCTTGGTTTTGCTGCTGGCTCGGCTGATCCGAGCCGGCGGTCCCAACTTGCCGGAGCAGACAAGTGCACCACCCACCAACGTCCGAAACCCATTCATTCTGTCTTCGGACGTCAGCCCGGTACATATCACTTTCTCTCTCGATTGCACCTAAAGCCAAGCCCCCGTGCCCCGCCCTGGTCATGATGATGGCTCATTCTGCGTGTTTGACATGCAACTTTTGCCTGACTTTTGGTTTGACTGCTAGGATGCCCCTAATGATGAGGGTGTGTTGAGCATCATCCATGAGCACATGGAACCGCTGATGAACATGCTTGTTCAGCTCGAAGAGCCTTACGTCGCCGAAGCGCAAAGCCTTTTGGCTTTCTTGTGCTGGCGTGATGATAGCCGCCTAATGCAGGTCAGATGACCCCATGCTGTGCCTGCAGAAAATGTTGCCCTTGAGCTGTCAGGCTCGATTGGTTTTTCTGAAAGCTGACGGGTTGGGTGCTGATGATTTCGCCGTCGCGTTCTGGCTTGCTTAGGTGCTCTGCCCTCTTCTCCTACACTTGGACAGCCACAGCCCTTGGCCCAAGGGCGAGTTTATTCTCAACTCACTCAAGAGCATGATGGCCATGCCGGACAATAATTTGCCGTTGCGACTCAGGCTACTTCACTATGTACGTGTTTTGCACCTCGCTGACCAAAAGATTGCGCTTCGCACAAGGGCAGCGCTTTTTTTAATTCTGTTCTCCAATCTTGCTCTCATCATGCTGTGCATGCACTTTTGCGCAGAACCCCAAGGAGAACAACCGCGTGGCTGGACTTTTCCGCATCCTTGAGTTTTATTTGTTAGTAACTTGTCATGATGAGGGAACGGGCATGAACTTGACTGGTTGGACGAAGCAGTCACTTTGCTCATTCGAAATGCCTGTCTTGTTTGATTACAGCACCCATCACGCAAAGAAGGTGTTCTACACAGGTGCCTTCTTAGCATGGGAGCTGGAGACCATTCCCGAGGCCCGTGAGTGGTTGCTGGCTGTGCCACAAGTTGACAAGTGGGCCACCATTACATCCTTCATTGAAACATCGATTGCCAGCCTGCCGATGTAAGTCCAAATTGCCAGCTTGGACCTCAGAGAATAAGCCGCGTGGGGTCCTGCGTGGTGACATGTGTTGTCGAACGCCTGTATGCTGTTTCTGTGCTCATGCGTGCTCCGGCTTTTAATAGCGTGGCGGGACGCAACCTGGATGTGGATGAGACGCATGTGTTGCGGCGCACCGAGTCAGCCGAGAATGTCGTGGCGCTTTTGTCTCAACACGCACCAGCAGACCTGTATCCCATGGTTCGTGCTGGGCACGCTGGATTGGTCCGGTAGCTGCACTTATCAGGCACATGACTTGACCCATCACGTGCTTGTTTCCGGTGACTTAGACTATCTCAATCGCGCCGACCGCCCAGACCCAGTCACCAATGTCTGAAGACGGCTCGGATGTCGACCAAGGGGGTATTGACAATTTGCTCACTGATATTCAGGCTTAATTGGGTCCAAGTGCGGTGGCAAAAAAGCGATGGCCAATGTGTGGTTGTACCAGCACAGTTTTGTGAGGTTATCCATGGTTTTTTTTTCTTTTTCTTGATGTAGTTGGTCTTATGGTTTGCGGCCGCCTCGTTCTTCTCCCTTCATTCTTGTATCTACTCTCTGTTCTCTTGTTTGGTTGCTCTAATTCTTTCCTGCTCTTTTTTTTTTCTCCTCTTTCCTTCCTCGCCACCGCTACCCTTCTCTTCTTTTCACCTGCTTTCTTTCTTCCTTCTTTTGTTGTGGTCTCGGCCGTTTTGGGATGTACATTGTCTTTGTCGCCATGGACAAGTTGAATGCAAGCCACTTATCAATTGAAAAGCCTCGCAACCTATTATTGTTCGATGTGAGTGCGAGGCATTTGATACAAATGGGTGCGCCAGGGCCGGCAAGCAAGCAAGTGTAGGACATGGCGCAAGTGTAGGACATGGCGGCTTGTGCAATCGAGTGCTTGTGGGCGCGCAGCGCCAGATCAACTCCAACCCTCACCCCTTGGAAAAAAAGAAATCCCCTTGCAGGCCTTTTGGGGAAGGGAGGAACGCATCTGCAACTCAAACAGTGGTGTTTTCGATGGCTTCATCATCCTCTGTATCTGTGGGGCTGACTTCGACGGGGACTTGAAAAGTGGAAAGGTCATGACCCACGCGCGAGAGTTGCCGGGCGGACCCAGCCGTGCGTTGCTCAGACAGCCGCGCTTGCTTTTGAGCGTCAAGGGTATCCGGATGATCGGTACCCAGTTCATGTACAAAGGCCACCGCGGCTTTTCGAAAATGCAAGGCGCTGCTACCGTGCTCACCCAAGTGCAGGTGGATGAGAGCAATGTTGTAATGGGTGTCGCCGACAGCTTTGGCCGAGGGCCCGAGAATTTTCTCCCGGATGCGGAGTGCCCAGGCATAGTAGGAAAGGGATGTCTCATAATCCCCCTCGAGGCGGCACGCGTGGGCGAGGTGACTAATAGTGGCTGCGGTGTCGGGATGATCGACTCCCAGGACCTTGCAACGGATGCGCAAAGCCTCGCGAAAGGATGCAAGGGCTTCGAGCGTGTTGCCTGAGGGGGCATAGTCAGATCCTTGGTCAGCTGGACGACGTTTCCCAAAGGGCGTAAAGCATGATTTGTTGCGAGAGAAGAGGAGGGGGTAAAATAATACCTTGCTGGCAATGCGTTGATCCCATGTGCGTCAGGGTCACGGCCACTGAAGGATGAAGGTTACCAAAGGCCTTGCGTTTGAGCTATGGAGTGTCAATGCCCCGTGGTCAGGTCAGATAGCCGAGGCCGATGGCAGGCGGCAGAAAAGAGATTTGTTATGGCAGCGCAGTCGCAAACTCTACCTCCAATGCTTGTGCGTGACTGGCCAGTGCATGCTGATAATAGCTATCCTCGTGACTTTGGAGCGCACCCTACAAGAATACCAGGAAAACAAAGCGCATGACTGAATCACAGGCACTTGGCGACGGGAGGACTGCGCTGCTCCTGATGATAAGCAACGTCAAGAGTGTAGGCATCTCTGTGAAAGGCCGGCGCGAGGAGACGCACCAGACGCAGCTCGGCTTTGTGAATGGATCCAGGGTCTGCATCCTTGGCTTGAACCGTCAGTCGGTGAGCCTCATGATAATACTTTAAAGCATTGGCATAGGCAGCTCGAAACTCGGCCAGCTCGCCCAGCTGTGCAAGCAGAGCGGCAGCGCGTTGGCCCTCGTTGCGAAGTGCTTCTTTCTATGAACCACAAACATCCATTGACAAAGCCAATCCGATGCCGTTTCCACCGCAGGTTGAAGTCGCGGAGAGCGGAGCCATCTCGATGAGTTGACGAGGACTTGGGCACGAGGGGGGCGGGGATTGGCGCCGCACCGTATGTTTGAGTGTGACACCGATGACCTTGGTGGCCTCTGTATACTTCTGAGCCCGCTTAAGCTTGCGAGCAAGGCGGGTTCCGTTCTTGTAAAGGGCTTCGGCATCTTTCTACTTGTACCCCAAGCACACAGCAACGACGGTGAGCCAAGATTTGAGCCATCAGCCAACGCAGTTGGCCAGCGGTCGTACCTGCTCCAAGGCAAGCTTGAAAGCCCCACGCAAAGCCTTGATATCACCTGCACTCGTCTCACGCCGATCCCCGTGCTCCACCTTGCTCCCAGCCCGACCCCTTCGGGCAGTCCCTGCTGCAGCCGCATCCGCCGTCGCAGCTACCGCCCCCGTCGCGTCAACATCCCCCATCCCGATCGCTCTTTAGCGTTCTAGCGCGTTTTTTTTTTTTGCGTTGTGGGTGTTTTCTGGTGGTAAAGTTTGATTCAAAAAAGACCTTTTTCTTTTTCAGTGCAAAGCTTCTCTCTCTCTCTCTCTCTCTCTCTCTCTCTCTCTCTCTCTCTCTCTCTCTCTCTCTCTCTCTCTCTCTCTCTCTCTAAATCTCTCTCTAAATCTCTCTCTAAATCTCTCTCTAAATCTCTCTCTAATCTCTCTAATCTCTCTCTATATCTCTCTCTATATCTCTCTCTATATCTCTCTCTAAATCTCTCTCTATATCTCTCTCTAAATCTCTCTCTCTCTCTCTCTCTCTCTCTCTCTCTCTCTAAATCTCTCTCTCG